GCTCAAAAAATACTTGTTAAATCAGACATAGACACACACACACACACACACACACCCTAAGGAGGTGCTTCTGAGCCTGCAGACCAGAGCACGCACACACACACATACCCTAAGGAGGTACAGACACACATACACACACACGCACATACATAACACATACCTACTGAGGTGCTTCTGAGCCTGCAGCACAGAGTTCCAAGGCCCAGGAAAGAATTCAGCTTCTTTGCGTTTTTCTTCACTCTCACCCAAGAACCCCAGGCAGGATTGTTCTCTGCTGAGCCCTGATTTCAGAGCAGGCAGGGGGAGGCTTAGCCAGACACCTGGGGGTGGTGTGAGAGGTCAGCATGTCCAGGCAGGCAGGAAAAAAACAACATCTGCTCAAAACCATCCCTGTGGATGGCTGCAGTGCTGACTCGGCTGCCGGAGGGGCCTTTCAAGAGTCTGACCCTGGCTGTTCCCCTTTACAAACAGGCCTCCGGGCAGCACCAACATACCTGATCCTAGAAATGTTAGCCAGGCCTTCACTGGGTGAGCCACTGCCACCGGGGCTTTGAAGAGAAAAGGTAACCTATGGCCACTCTAGGTCCTTCCCTCCCCAACCTGCCCAGATGAGAATTAAAAGCAGGCCGAGGGAGCTGGCTGCAAGGACTGAGTCAGGCTTTACGGCAGGAGCCTGGGCCCATGGGGATCCTGAGCATGCTGGGAACAACCCTGAGGTTGTGTGGTCCAAAAGCAATGAAAAATGGAAGGAAGGAAGGAAGGAAGGAAGGAAGGAAGGAAGGAAGGAAGGGAGGAAGGGAGGAAGGGAGGAAGGGAGGAAGGGAGGAAGGACGGGAGGGAGGGAGGGAGGGAGGAAGGAAGGAAGGAAGGGAGGAAGGGAGGAAGGAAGGAAGGAAGGAAGGAAGGGAGGGAGGAAGGGAGGAAGGAAGGAAGGAAGGGAGGAAGGGAGGAAGGACGGGAGGGAGGAAGGAAGGAAGGAAGGAAGGAAGGGAGGAAGGGAGGAAGGAAGGAAGGAAGGGAGGAAGGGAGGAAGGAAGGGAGGAAGGGAGGAAGGAAGGAAGGGAGGAAGGAAGGAAGGAAGGGAGGAAGGGAGGAAGGACGGGAGGGAGGGAGGGAGGAAGGAAGGAAGGAAGGGAGGAAGGGAGGAAGGAAGGAAGGAAGGGAGGAAGGGAGGAAGGAAGGAAGGAAGGGAGGAAGGGAGGAAGGGAGGAAGGGAGGAAGGGAGGGAGGGAGAAAGGAGGGAGGGAAGCATCTAAAGGTCCCAGGGACAGTTCAGTGACTTAGAGGTTGCCTGCAAGACATGAGCTTGCACTTAAAGCCCAGAGGTGTCCACTGGCAAAGGCCCCAGGACAGCCCGCATGCTGTGACCTTCGAAAAGAACATCCCAGAAGATGGCTCAGTGCCTTGGACCATGCCCAGGGAAAGGCCAGGGCTGAGCTCAATTCCCAAAGTCCCAGCTCCCCCCCCCCCCCCCCCCCCAGGCAACATGGAAAGCACCACAGTCTGGGGAAATTCAGACAGGAACAAGACAGGACCTAGCACCAGAGAGAGAGAAAACATACCGGGGTTAAGCACTTGCCTTGCAAGTGACCAACCCCAGTTTGATCCCTGGCACCACATAAGGTCCCTGAGCACCACAGATATGGCCCCCAAACAACAATCAAAAAATGAAGTGAGTCTAAGATCAAACGTCACTAGTAAGTAACACTAGTAAGCTCAGAGTAAACGTCACTAGTGCTGGCTGAGGCCCTAAGGGTGTGGCATTAGGCTGGGGTAGGGGCTGCAGTGGGGAGATGAACCAGGCCAGGCTGGGTTTAAACGCTCCTGCTGGAGTCAGGTGCTTCCACCATGAAGGAGCGAGGAGAGAGCCCAGAAGCTCCAGCTCCCACCCCCACACCCCCCCCGCTTCTCTTCATGCAGCAGGCCACGCCGGCGAAGCCTCCCTTCCAGAAGAAAGGCAGCCATGTCTGCTACCACCTTGCACACTACCAAGTTTGTCCCCGGAAATTCCAGAACAGGCCAGTGGAGAGCAGCTATTTTGCTTCTGTCTCAGGTGAAACAGATGTAAACAGGAAAATGGCCAGGGAGGCCTGTGGCTGCAGAGCTCCTGGGAGAGAGAAGGGCGGGGCCCAGAGGGGTTTGAGCTAGTTCCAGGGACTCTGCGTCCCTTCACCCAGAGCAGCCTGGTCGCCTCTATGCTGTGCTGGGTGACTTTCTGGCTTTCCTCTGCCTCCTTAGAAATAGAAGTTGGGGGTTAGAGTGATAGCATAGTGGGTAGGGCGTTTGCCTTGCACGCGGCCGACCTGGGTTCGATTCCCAGCATCCCATTGTGGTCCCCTGAGCACTGCCAGGAGTAATTCCTGAGTGCAGAGCCAGGAGTAACCCCTGTACATCGCGAGGTGTGACCCAAAAAGCACTGTAGAACTGTGGCACTGTCCTCACGTTGTTCATCGATTTGCTCGAGCGGGCCCAGTAACATGTCCTTTGTGAGACTTGTTGTTAACTGTGTTCGGCATATTGAATGCGACATGAGTAGCTTGCCAGGCTTTGCCGTGTGGGCCAGCTGCGTGCAAGGCAATTGCCCTACCGCTGTGCTATCGCTCCACCCAAAAAGCAATATATATATATATATATATATGTTATATATATATTGGGCTGGAGAGATAGTACAGTAGTTAAGGCGCTTGCTGTGCATGTAGCCAACTGTACTTCATGCCCGACACCACTAAAAAGGTGTCTGAATTGGGGTGTTTCCCCCCCCATAAGACCAAACAGTTTTCCCAGTACCATTTGCTGAAGAGGGTTTTTGCCTACCACACACTGGGCAAAGGGTTAATATCCAAGACATGTAAGGAACTGGTAGAACTTTACAAGAAAAAAATAGTCAACACCATCAAAAAAAATGGGGAGCAGGGGGAAGTGAGGAACAGAAAGTTCCTCAAAGACGACACACAGATGGTGAAAAAGCAAATGAAAAAAAATGCTCTGCATCTGGGAAATGCAAATCAAAACAACAATGAGACATCACCACGGACACAGAGAGACTGGCATACTTCATAAAGAACAAAAACAACCAGTTCTTATTGGGGGAAAAGGGAACCCTCATGCACTGTTGGTGGGAATGTCAACTGGTCCAGTCTTTTGGGAAAACTATATGAACACTTCTCAAAAAAGACTAGGAATTCTTTCCTTTTTTTTCCCCCTCTTTGAGTCACACCCAGTGATGCTCAGGAATTACTCCTGAATCAGCACTCAGGAATCACTCCTGGCAGTGCTCGGGGGACCATATGGGATGCTGGGAATTGAACCCGGGTTGGCCGCGTGCAAGGCAAATGCCCTACCCGCTGTGCTATCACTCTAGCCCAAAGACTAGGAATTCTTGCCAGGAGTGATTCCTGAGTACAGAGCCAGGAATAACTCCTGAACACAGCCAGGTGTGACACTCCCCTACCCCCCTGTGGGGGAAGGAAAAAAAACTAGGAATTAAGCTTTCATCTGACCCAGAAATTTCACTCCTTAGCATCAATGCCAAGGATCCAAAAAAAAAAAACCTATTCAAAAAAGACATTTACACTCCTATGTTCACTGCATCATCATAGACAAAAATCTGGAAACAATCCAGGTGTCTAAGAACAGATGACTGGATAAAGAAACCATGATACAGCAGTAGTCCAGCGGGTAGAGTGCTTGCCTTGCATGAGATTGACGTGGATTGGATCCATGGCGCCCCATATGGTCCCCTGAGCCAGTTAAAAGCCCTGAGCGCAGAGAGTGTGACACAAAAACTGACAAAAGCTATGATACAATAATGAAATAGGCGATAAAGAATGAAATTGTACAATTTTCTGCTATGTGGATGGACCTGAAGAGTTATGCTGAGAGAAGTTAACCAGAAGAGGGACATACACTGATTTCTCATCTGCAGCGTATAAAGAACACAGTGGGGGAATAACAAATGCCCAAAGGCAACAGAAACTGAAAATCTGTCTTCAGTAGTAAGTGAGTGCAGCCGTGAGGGCGTGGGTGAGTGGGCGCGTGTGCGCGCGTGTGTCGTAGGAGGGAAATGGGACACGGAGGAAGTGGACAATCGTGGAAGATGTGGTGCTGGAATCTTTTTCTTTTTTCTTTTTGGGTCACACCTGGCAATACACAGAGGTTACTCCTGGTGGTGCTCGGGCGACCATATGGGATGCTGGAAATCGAACCTACACGTTGTGCAATCACTCCAGCCCCGGTGCCGGAATCTTTTACGCATGAACCCATGACCATTCACGGTATTATAAATCACCGCGCCTAAAATAAAAACACTTAATCAGCAACATTTTCTTCTGCTCAAGGCGCTTAGCAGAATGGATTAGCTCAAGAGCATTACAAACTCACCCTATCCCAAGGACAAATCCCGCCTATGCCCCTTTCCCAGGGGAATCTGGATCTGAGGAGACCTTTCCCAGGTCCCTACCGGTCTCTCCACTCCTATAGTGGAGGTCTATAACCGGATCTCCACCGGTCACGCAACACAGCCCTCAGGCCACCGCTAGAACCGAGCCCTCGCTTAGTGGCCACACTGGCTGCGCGTGCAGTACTCGGCATCCCAATAAACCCTGGGCCCGCGAGGCCCCGCCCAGTAAGGGCAAATCCCCGCCCCCGGCCCCGCCCCGGACACCACTCTCCCACAGCCCCTGCCCCACGCCGGCCTCGCCCTGGCCCCGCCCCCGGGAGCCAGAGTCCCGCCCCCAGACGCCTATTTTCCGCGCGGAGTCCCGCCCCCCACCCGCCATGCCCCCGCTGCTCTCCCGCCACCTGCCTCAGGCCCCGCCCCCTCTAACCCGCCCCAGGCCCCGCCCCCGCTCCAGGCCCCGCCCCTCCGCTCTCCCGCCGCCCCGCCCCAGGCTCCGCCCCCGCCGCGCTCCCGCCGCCCCGCCCCAGGCCCCGCCCCCGCCGCTCTCCCGCCGCCCCGCCCCAGGCCCCGCCCCCGCCGCTCTCCAGCCGCCCCGCCCCAGGCCCCCCGCTTCCCGAACGGACTGGCGGGCCCGGAGCGGCGCCCACTGACCCGCGCTCGCAGGCCTAGGGCCGGCTGCAGCGGGCGGCCATGGAGGTAGCGGCGCGGAGGCGACAGCCGGCGGCGGCGGCGGCGGGCGGCCCGGGCGTGTCCTTCTTGCAGGCCAGGTGCGCGCGCGCCGGCGGGGAGTGGAGGGCCGGGAGCACTATGCCGCGAGACCACCTCGCGCGGCGCCGGCTGCCCCCCCTGGGAGCACCTCGCGAGGGTCCGGGAGAGTTGGTGGGGGCAGGCTCGGAGCAGGCCACGGCCGGGGGCGCCCGGACTCGGGCTTCCAGGCGATGTGCACACTAGCTCCGCCGCCCAGACCCCGGGGGAAGTGAGTGTAGGGGGAGGAGGCGAGGCGCAGCCCGGGGTGAGCACCGAAAGTGGGGAAGAAGCCACTGAACAGCGCCACGCCTTTGCATCCCATTCTGCTCTCCCAACAAAACTATAAGTACTTGTAAGCACCTCTGCTGTGTGTGTGAGTTCACAAAATAAAGGTGAGGGTGCTGCTGTGAGGACCCCTGCTTTGGGTGGCCCAGAGCCGCCTCCCCAACAGAGACAGAGATGGGGGGGCACAGCCTGATGTTGAAATTGGCCCGTTTATTGCCGAGCTACAGGTATTCTTATAGAACATCTGAGAGGGGTTGAGGTGAGGACATAAGTGTGACTGATCACTTACATAGGTAAGACATCTGGAAATTTACGTGGATCTTTTATATAGGTAAATAGGAACTTCTCTTTTGGGGAGATTAAAACAAGGAGACACTCTTGTCTCTCAGGGACACCTACATTGATTTTATCTTTCCCTCTAGTTGTATAAGTTATCAATACTTGCAGTTGTTTGGATAAACACAGAGGCAAAGATCCCAACACTTAGTTCTCTGAGCTCTGAAAGCAAGCAAGGCTTTTACCTTAAGGTCCTTAGGCTAGTTTAGCTTGTCCTTCCCCATGGGTGTACTTACTGTCTCTTAAGTCATAGCAGCTGGCATCAAGACCACGCATTTATGCTTTCTAGATTGTCCCATTTCGATGCCGGGCTAGCTTTGCCACTCACTCCATTCCATCCCAGTCCCATGGAGGGACCTCTCTTGGTGTTAGGAACTACAGCAACTGAAGCCTGAGTCAAGTAATTATGACCAAGTAATTATGCCCAGGAGTAGACATATTTCAGAGTCAATCAACTCCCAGATATTAGGAGCAGAGCATTAATGGTCTTTGTGTTTAACCAAAGAACGTTGCTCTATAGTAAGATATAAAAAGGCTGTATGGGAAATAGAAAAAGAGGAAATAGAAAAAATACACAGCACTTCAAATACAAAGCACAGAATTACCAGAAAGTTTTGGCTTCTAAGTAATCAAGACTGACTTGGGGAACTGTGACAATGAGCGGTAAAATACAAAGGAAGGTTAAAGACAAACTTTAACTAAATTAGGGATGCTAGCAAGGGCGCGATAAGCTTCTTTGGGGGGAGAAACAGGGTCAGTTCACTGATGAAGCCTAAAGCACTTCGGTTTGATATCCAGCAGCTGTGCCCGCCTCTGATGGGCTTTGGGTGGCAGGCAAGCTGAAGTGGGAACGGCTCAGTTGTTCAGGGTTTGGGAACGACAGAGTTTTAACAGGCCTGTGCAGTTATCTCAGAGGTTGGTTCTCTGGGGAGGTGGGTGATGCAGGGGAAAAAGGCTGTTCCAGGGGCAACTCGACACGCAGGTAGTGCTGGCGGGTTTGTGGAGGATGGGTGTAGATTTTAATGGGTGCAGAGCTGAGTGTGGAGCAAAGCACTGAGGAGGTGCCTGCCGGTGTGGCAGTGAGCACCAACTCCCTAGTGATGCTGGGGGTCCATATGGGATGCCAAGGATCAAATCCAGGCCCTGGGCCTCTGCACGCAGACTCTGTGCTCAGCCCCCTTTGTATTATTTTTTATTTGGGTTTTTTTATTTTGGGGGCCACACCCGGAGGTGCTCAGGGCTTACTCCTGGGTCTGTGCTCAAGAATCACCCGCTGTGCTGTCACTCCAGCCCCTCAAGTTCTACTTCTTGATTTATGGATTTTACCCTCCATCAGGGTTCGCCAAGCCCCACCAGGAGTGATCCCTGAAAACTGCCCCGTGTGGTCCCCAAACCCAAAATAAAATAGAACATCAGCCCCATCTCCTAGTGAATTTGGGGTCATTTCTTTACATCTTCCCCTCACCCCCAACTCCAGTTCTTTATAGTTTGACCTTCATGTTCTCAAGTCTCAGAATATTCATCTGTGGATGTGTGTGGTACTGGGTATTGGGGAGGGTGCTCAAGGACAGTGTGGTACCAGGGATGGACTTGGGGCCCCTGTGTGCCAGTATTCACTCCGGCCCTTTGGACCGGGGCCAGAGAGGTGGTACAGCGGTAGGGCACTTGCCTTGCACATGGTCGATATGGGTTTGATACTTGGCGTCCCAGATGGTCCCACAGACCCTGCCAGTTCTTATTCCTGAGCATGGCATAAGCTGTGAGGACCACTAGCTGTGGCCCCTAAACCAAGAAACACTTGACCTATTTCCCTGGTGACTTAACCTTGATTGCCTTTTGTGTTTTGTCTGTGAGTTGACTCTAAACTTGGAAACAATATACAGTGTATGTGCTATAATGTAATAATATACAGTGTATCTGTTGAGACTTTGCCTGCTTCTCTATGCTGCTCTTGGGGGGGCTGTATGTGACTGTGCTCAGGGCTTACTCTTGACTATGTGCTCAGGGCGGTGGCGGGGCTTGGGGACCTTATGTGGTGTTTTTGGTTTCGGCTCTCTGCCTCCTTTGTGCATTGATTTCCCCACCAATGAGAAGGAGAAATAGCACAGCGGTAGTGCATTTGCCTTGCATGTGGCCAACTCTGCCAACCCAGGTTCAGTTCCTCCGCCCCGCTCAGAGAGCCCGGCAAGCTACCGAGAGTATCTCACCCGCACAGCAAAGCCTGGCAAGCTCCCCGTGGCATATTCAATATGCCAAACACAGTAACAACAAGTCTCACAATGGAGACATTACTGGGCCCACTCGAGCAAATCGATGAACAACGGGAGGACAGTGAGAAGGGGTGGGAGGGCTCAGTGTCTACAGTATTTAGTTTTTGGTGGGCAGCGGGGGGAGGCTTTCAGCAGTGCTCAGGGACCCCAGGGCCACTCCTGGCGACATTAAGCGACCAGGCTGGAATGGTCGGTGCTAGGGCCGAAGATTCAGGTGCGGAGGCAGCATCTTCTTCCCGCCCTCTATCTGAACCTGTACCACCCCACTTCCTTCCCACAGAGCACTGCTGTCAGAGTCCACCCCCAGGCCTCCTTCCTCCAGCTCAGAATGCCCTCTTAAGTTTTTTTTTTTCTTTTTGGGTCACACTTGACGATGCACAGGGGTTACTCCTGGCTCATGCACTGGGAATTACGCCTGGCAGTGCTCGGGGGACCATATGGGATGCTGGGAATTAAATCCGGGTCGGCCGCGTTCAAGGCAAATGCCCTACCCACTGTTATCGTTCCAGCTCCCCTCTTAAGTTTTTTCCCCTGTGCTAACACGTGTGTCTTCTGGGGAGCCGCTGACCCCCCTCTGGCTTTTGCAGGCATGGCCCCACCAGCACAGAGGAGGCTGCCCGCCCCGCCCCCTTCCACCTAGACCTCTGGTTCTATTTCACTGTGCAGAACTGGATTCTGGACTTCGGTCGTCCCATTGCCATGGTGAGTGGATGCCAAGGACAGGACCAGCAGCCGTCGAGCCAGCCATGTGACCTCAGTCAAGCCCCTTCCCAGAACAGCCAGTGGCGAGCCAAGAGCAGGATTCTTCCCTGGGCTTTCGCTGTGACTATGGCCCTCTTGTGCACCCAAGGGCCTGAGTGCTCAGACTGTGCCCGCTGGCCCATGGGCACTGGGGCCAGCGGCACAGCATACCCTTCCTCCCCATGACCTGGGATCAGCACAGCAGCTTCCCCACCACTTCAGTCAGTCAGATTTTCTGGAAGGTAGAATGTAAGATACTGGGTGTGCTCTGGATTCAGGGGGACTCACCCTTCCTCCCAAGGCCACTTTATGCATCAGTGTCGAATAGTCACTTCTCCGCAGGTTTAATCCTGGGCATCCCATATAGTTCCCTGAGCCCCACCAGGAGTGGTCCCTGAGTGCAGAGCCAGGAGTAGCCCTGAGCATTGCTGGGCATAAGCCCCAAAACAAAACAAAACCCAAATCAGTCCTCACTTCGGCACTGTTGTCAGTCTCAGTTTGGAGATGAGCAATCTGGAAACTGCCTCAGCTTCTCCCAACTGATGTGACTCAGTGATGAAGCACTTGCCTCGGTAGAGCATTTGCCTCACTTATCTGAGGCCTTGAGTTTGATCCCTGGCACCACACACACACACACACACGGGGCTGAGCAAGTGCTCTGCCTGCAAGAGGTCTGGGTTTGATCCCTAGTACCACATGGTCTTCTGAACACTGCCAGGTGTGACCCACCCCTGCATGCATGCACGTGTGTGCGTGTGTGTGTGTGTGTGTGTTCCAGTCAGCAAGAAGGCAGCAGCCTCCACTGGCAGAGAGGGTCACTGGTTTTGCACACACAAGGCAGGGCTTGGGCATCCCCCAGTGGGGCCTGAAGAGATGGACCAGGCCACGCCCTTCCTGGCCCTGAAGCTGGGGACACTGGCCTGAGGGTTTCCAGAACAGGTGAGTGACTGAGGAGGGGTCTGGAGAGTCTTAGCAGCCTTGCATGCGGGCCTCCGACCTGAAGGGCGCCCAGGATGCCTGTCCCTGCAGGGCTGTGAGAGCTGTGACGCTCCCTTTCACATACTGTCTCTTGTCACTATTGTTCATTTCTGTTTGGGGGGCCCACACCTACTGTTCCTAGTTTAGTGCTCAGAGTCACTCCAAATGGTACCAAGGCCCTGGACCTTTGCACACAGACTGTGTGCTCAGCCCCCCTTTGTATTATTTTATTGTTTCGGTTTTTGGTTTTGGGGGTCACACCCGGAGGTGCTCAGGGCTTACTCCTGCCTCTGTGCTCAAGAATCATTCCTAGAGGACTCAGAGAACCATATGAGGTGCCAGGGATTGAACCTGGGTCAGCTTCATGCCAAGCAGGTACCCTCCCCACTGTCCTATCACTGGGGCCCAGAGACACAGATTGCTCACCTGCAGGGCTACCCCTTAGGATCCCAGGTTGCCACCTGGGCCACCTCGCCTGTGACAGATGGGGAAACTGAGCCTAGAGAGGGGAAGGACTTGTCTTGTGGCACCACCAAGACCTCAAGGAGCCTTTAGCCCCCGGCTCTGTCCAGAAATGAGGATTTGGTACCTGCTGGGAGTGAGTATATGGGGACCCCTTGTACCCCCACATGGTGCCTAGGTTGAGTCCATCACCCGTTCCATGCTCTTTGTCCCTCTGGAAACCATGGTGCCCTGGGACAGACATCCTAGAAGGAACAAGTGTGTGGAGTGTATTTGGGGGCTCCCCTGCTTGACCGTGCCTGCCTGAACACTCTTCCCTGCCCCCAGCTGCTGCTGCCTCTGGACTGGTTCCCGCTCAACAAGCCCAGCCTCGGTGACTATCTGCACATGGCCTACAATGTCATCACGCCCTTTCTCCTGCTCAAGGTGTTGTCAGGGGAAGGCTGGATGGAGGGATGTCACAGGTCAGGGGAGGCCTCCCCAAAAGGGTCACTGGGGTGCTGCAGCCCAAGCAGGGACTGCTATAGGGCCACGATGGAGACCCACAGACCTTTGAGGGAGGCTGAGGAGACAGCGCGAGGGATGGGGTCAGGGGCAGGATTCAGGGACAGCAGGGGGTGACGGAGCTGACTCTGGTTGCTCTCACCCGCAGAGTAGGACATGGACGGCTCCAAGCTCAGGGACCAGGGTTCGGTAGCCCCACAACCTTCCTTCCCTTCGGTTTGGGCCCAGTGCTTGGGACCTGGCACCCTTCAGTGGCCACCTCCAAAGTGACCCCTGCCCCTCTGTGGCTGGGGGGCTGGAGCAGAGCCGGCCACTAAAGGTATGTCCCCCCACTCACCTCCCCCCGCCCCCCCGTAGCTGGTGGAGCGCTCCCCGCGCACCCTGCCGCGCTCCATCGTCTATGTCAGCGTCATCACCTTCATCATGGGCGCCAGCATCCACCTGGTGGGGGACTCCGTCAACCACCGGCTCCTGTTCAGCGGCTACCAGCACCACCTGTCCGTGCGCGAGAACCCCATCATCAGAGACCTGCGGCCCGAGTCACTGGTGAGCTCCCACTGGGGAGCTGCCCCAAGGGTCACGATGCCCCACGTGGCTCCCCTAGAAGTGGACAGGGAGCCTCAGTGGTGGCCGCCCCCCACCCCCCAGGGCGGGTCACCGTGCAGCCTTGGGTGGGTGCCCTGCCCGCAGCTCTCCGCGCTCACCAGCCCGTCCTGCCCTCAGATCGACTCCTTTGAGCTGCTCTACTACTACGACGAGTACCTGGGCCACTGCATGTGGTGAGTGACCTGTCATCTGTCCCCCTCTATAGCAGGTGGGAGGGAGCGCGGCTGCTGCAATGCGCGTCTGCACCGCTGGGGGCGCGGAAGCTCCTCCTGGCAGCCCTGCAGTGCGTGCGGCGGCCACTAGAGGGCGCTGGCGGGCGGGGGAGCCGCAGCCGGTAAACAGCCCCTCCCCCACGTTGCGGGGGCGCAACCTCCCAGGGGAGCGCCCCCACTGCAAAGATGCAGCCTCGCTGGGGCAGCCAGTGCCCCGCCCCCAGCGCCCACTGACCGGCTGCTCTGGGCCGGGGTGGACAGCTGGGAGGTGAACCAGGCTGGAGGCCCCTCCTGAGCCGGGGCTTCTGCAGGGCGCCCTGGCATCCTTCCCAGGGGCGGTGTTGGGGCTTTCTGGAAAGTTGCCTCCCACCTCCGCTATGAGCTGGGGAAGAGCAGAGGGGGGAGGGGAGGGCAGGACAGAGGAAAGGGGGACCCCCGTGGGGGAGTCAGGAGACAAGGGCACACACGAGCACAGGCCCAAGTGGGGCTAGACGGGGTACTTGTGCTATGTAGTGTTTGGTGGATTGTTGGGAGTTGGGGAGCACTGCCCCCCACCCCTGTTATCCATGCAGGGCCTGCCCTGCAAAGGCCGTTTTCTTACTCTTTAATTTTATGTTTTTGTTTTGGGACCTTCCCTGGTGATGCTCACAGGTTACTCCAGTGCTCAGTTCTCAGGGGTTGTTCTGACCAGAGCTGGAACCTCTACAGCCCAGTCCATATTGTATATAGAGCCTCTCCGGGTCCAGCCCAGCCCACCTCAGCCCTGCTGGGACACCCCACCAGGCCAGGGCCGGGTGGTGCCCAGTGTGCAGGGTTTCCCAGAGAGAATGCCCAGCCCAGCGGAGTGGCCCCAGTGGGTGTCTGATTCACTTTGCCCAGGACATCAGGGCCAAGCAACCTCTCCCAAACCCAGGTCCCCCTGGCCTGGCCCTTTGTGCCTCCTGGCCATGCCTCCTGTCTGGGGCAGTGCTCACATAGGCTGGTGCACCCCGTTTGTGCGCTGGTTGGGCCCCTGATGCAGAGGGGTGCGAGCTTTAGGGGCCCCTGTGCGGTCTGGCTCGGGGCCTCACAGGTGCAGGGGCCTCAGCCACGGGGTTGTGCGGCATGCAGGGGGCCCTCTGTGTGGGAGTGCCCGTTGAATCCTGAGTGCTGCCCCCTCCCCCGCAGGTACATCCCCTTTTTCCTCATCCTCTTCATGTACTTCAGCGGCTGCTTCGTCCCCGCTGCGGCACCACGCTCAGTGCCCGGGGCCGCACTGCTCCTGGTGGTACCCAGCGGCCTGTACTACTGGTGAGTACCGGGTGTGCTGGGGCTGGGGGCACTGATGGTGTTGGCCAGGCGTGCGTGTGGCCTCCCGCCCCCCCCCCCCCCCTTGCCCCTCCACCCGGGACCCCGGCCGCGCAGAGGCCTCAGATGGGGGTGCTGGCCGCTGTCCCTCTTCTGAGGGGAGGATCTGGGGTGAAGGGGTTTGGTAGACCCCAGGTACAGCCCAGGGAAGCACCGGGCAGTGCAGGGGGACTCCTGCCCTCGGACACTGCCTGCCTGGTTCTTGGTTCTTCGGGATCCCCCCAGGACAGAGACTGATGCTGGGGACCCCAGGAGGGTCTGGCCTGAGCCCTGTAAGAGGCTCCTGCGTGCCCCCTGGTGGCCGAACAGGCCCCTTCTCCCCTTTCAGTGCTGAGACTGGGCTCTTGGGCACTGGCCACCTCCAACCCGGGACCAGCGGGGACTATGGCACAGCCCTCAGAACTGTTGGGCGCTCACAGTTTGGGGCCTTGTGTGACAGCGACATGGAGACTGCAGCCCACGGTGGCATCTGGCACTGTCCACCACATGCTTCCCAGCTGGGCACCCACAGCTGAGATACAGTGTCCGCGGGGAATCCGAGGGCGCCCCTGGGCCTGGCACCAGGAGTGGTGTGTGGGAGGGAGAGGGACGCGGGACCAGCACCCTGCCGGCCTCCACAGGTACCTGGTCACTGAGGGCCAGATCTTCATCCTCTTCATCTTCACCTTCTTCGCCATGCTGGCCCTCGTCCTGCACCAGAAACGCAAGGGCCTCCTCCTGGACAGCAACGGCTTCTTCCTCTTCGCCTCCTTCGGCCTGGCCCTCCTGCTCGTGGGACTCTGGGTGGCCTGGCTGTGGGACGATCCTGTCCTCAGGAAGAAGTACCCGGGCGCCATCTACGTGCCGGAGCCCTGGGCCTTCTACAGCCTCCACACCAGCGGCCAGCACTGAGGGCCCACAGGAGGCTGGACATGAGCGTGCGCGTGTCAAGAGTGAGCGTGTGAGGGACTGTGTGTGAGAAAGTGTGTGTTGAGTATGAATGTGTGTATGAGTGTGAGGTGTGTGTGAGTGAGGGTGTGTATATGGTGTGTGAATGAGTGAGTGTGTGTGTGAGGATGTGTATAGGGGTGAGTGTGTGAGGGTGTGTGAGTATGAGTGTGTGAGTCACTATGAGTGAGGGTGTGTGATGTAAAGGTGTGTTAGTGTGAGTGAAAGAGGCTGAGAGACTGTGCGAGACAGTGAAAGTGTGAGTGTGAGGGTGCATATGGTGTGTATGTGTGTGAGGGTGTGTATGTGTGACTCTGTGTGGGGTGACATTTCTCTCAGCTTTGGATCCTTTGGGTGGGTTTTTTAGGCCCAAGTTCAGGTTCCCCTTCCTGCCCGCCCCCCTCTCAGGGCTAGTCTCTTCCCCCTGGGATCCTGCAAGGAGCCGGGGGCAGAAGATTACCCCACACTGGCTCCCACCTCCTCCAGGTCTCTGGCCAGGCTGTCAGGCCCCTTGTGCCCAGCCCCTCCCCCAGGCTCTCCAGTCTCAGCTGGATCCAGCAGCTCCAGGCCAGGAAGGCCTTGTCCAAGCAGGATCCCGGGCGCCCCCAGCCTTGGGGCCTCATTTTGCAGTTGGCTGGGCCCTCTCTCCCTTCTGGCCTGTGTTCTCAGGGAACCCGGGCCTGAGCTCCTCATGTGTGGGTGGGGCTGGCCTCTCCCGGTCAGCTGTGTGCTGCCCACACGGGGTGGGTGAGGGGTGAATAAAGAGTGGTGGCCACACCCCTGCTGTCTGCATTGGATGCGAGTGGGGGAGGGGCCCAGGCCTGGAGGCAGCCAGGGGCAGCCTCCAGTGACCCACTCAGCCCCTCTGGGCCTCCATGCCTTGGTGGGTTCCGGGGGTACAGATGGAAGTGGATGGGAAGGCATCAGACCTTTCCTCCTGTCCCCCAGCTTGAGGTTTGGGGGTGACACTTCCTCCTGGGCAGAAGTCACCACCTCACCCCTCTGGCCTTAGCCTGACTCTCCCCTCACCCCTCAGAGACTGAGCAGGGCTGGGCGGGGGTGGAAGGTGGGAGGCCTTGCCGCTGAGACCCGCACCTGATGCCTGGCACCACTTGAATCCTTTTGTTTTGTTCCCCCCCCCCAGTGGTAAGGGTTAACCTCTGATTCAGGGGATTGAACCTGGGTCAGCTGCTTCCAAGGCAAGTGCCCTCCCTGCTACACTCTCTAGCTTCACCAAGGTTCATTCTTAAAAGGGATGAATCGAGGGCAGGAGTGATAATACAGTGGGCAGGTGCTTTGTTTGCACTCAGCTGACCCCGGCTCACTCTCCAGTACCTATTGGGCTCCCCAGCACTGTCAGGAATGATCCCAGAGAACTGGGAATTGGCTTTGGTGAGCCAGAGAGAGTGCCTTTCACGTTACTGGCTGGCCTGGTTTGATCCCAGGACAGTATTTTTTTTTTTTTTCACTTTTTGGGTCACACCTAGTGGCGATGCAAAGGAGTTACTCCTGGCTCTGCACTCAGGAATTACTCCTGGCAGTGCTCAGGGGACCATATGGGATGCTGGGAATCGAACCTGGGTCGGCCGCGTGCAAGGCAAATGCCCTACCTGCTGTATTGTTGCTCCAGCCCCGATCCAGGGATCCTGCCAAGAGACCCCTGGCTGTGGCCCCAACCCCCAAACCCATCTCACTGGAAAAAAAAAAAAAAAGAAACTGTCCCTGGGCTGGGTGAGACTGATAGAGCACCTGGCTCCTTGCGTTGGGAGACCCTGCTCCCAGGGTCCAGGCTTTACTTGATGACTCGGAAACAGGCGGGGCCTGGCATCCTCACAGTTGGAGCATCCCGGATAAACTCTTTTTGAAAGGAAGTTGGTTTTTGGAATGTGACATATGGGCGGAAAGTTCACAACGGATGAAACCCACGGACTGGCCCCAGAACTCAGTCAGCCCCAGAGGGACTGTAAGCTGGGTGGAGGTGGGCAGGGCGTGGCACGAGCCTCAGGGCAGCAGCTCCTCCGGGTTCCTGGGCAGGGTGTGGGTCCTGCCTCCCTGCCACACCCCCCACACCGTGCACTCACACTCAGATCCAGGCCTGCCCGTCTCCCCATGAACCCCTTTCCCAGCGTGGGGTGATCTCCTAGGGGGGACATGGCGGGTGCTCCAGGGTCCTAGGGAGCCCCACTTCTGTCCATCTCCCCAGTGAGACCCCCACCTCTCACCTGCACCCAGTTCAACCCCGGAGATTCTTTGTATCCGGAGCATTTCTCTAACCAGTCTGCAGTTAGGGAGTTGGGGAGACCAGACCCCTCCTCCCCCCCAACCCGCCTGTCCGTGGGCTTCGTGCAAAAGGCGCCCCCTGTCCCTGCGACCACCCCCCCCCCCCGCCCTCACCAGCCCTGGACTTGGACCCGAAGCCCTTTCTCAGGGTACAGCCTACAACCTGCACAACCGCACAGGCCGAGCCTTGACTGAACCGGGCCCCAGCGAGGATCCTGGCGGGTGGGCGGGTTGGGGCCTGGGTGCGGCTGCTGCAGCTCAGGGCCCGCCCACTCCCTCATTTCCGGGGCGGGGCCCGGACCCGAGGGGACCGGGCGTCTGTCCGGCTGCGGGGAGGCGCTGGGCTGCGGCGGGGAGGGGGGACCAGCGCTTTCCTGCTGGGAAGCCCCTCGGAGCCCCCCTCAGCCCCCGTGCGCCGGGTCCCCCTTCAAACCTCCGTGTCCCAGGCCCCCCTCAGATCCCCGTGTGCCGGAGACCTTGCCCACCCCAGGGTCCACAAGGGAGGGGGGTCCTGCGGCGGGAAACTGAGGCCCGCCCGGCTGGTCCTGGCGCGCCGAGCCGCACCCGCACCCGAGCCTTGGTGTCCGGAGCCTCGCCCCGCCCCTCTGCTCCCGCGGGGCCCCGCCGGGCCGGACCGGGTGTCTCAGCTCCGTGTCAGCTGGCACCGGGGCTGGAATCTGACCCTGGCACCCGGCCCGTCTCCATGGAGGCGGCGGGTTTATTGCAGGGGTGGGAGGGGCGCGCCCCGCTGGACTCCGGACCCGCACGGGGAGGGGAGGGAGGGGGCCCGGGCAGCGCGCGCCGCGGAAGCCGCGATGGTGAGTGGGGGTGGGTGGGGGGTCGGGTGTGCCGGGCGGGGGTCCCCCGCGGCGGGGTGCCGACCACCCTGATCCACCCTCTTTCTGCCGCAGGCCAACTTTCTCTCGCAGGACCAGATCAATGGTAGGTGGGGCTGCTGGTCAGGAGCGGAGGCCACGCGTGCGCGTGGGGCTCCTTTGGGTGGGTGGGAAGCGGGCCGGCCCCCCACGGCCTGCGGGTCAAGGCTGGCAGGTGGGAACTTGGTGATGAGGATAAGCCATCAAGAACTTGGGAGGGCCCCCAGAACCCACAGCTAATTGAGGGGGGCAGCAGCTGGAGAGGCTGAGTGGAAGGAGAGCCATATGCCCGCCGCCTGGGCCCCAGTTTCCCTTCTGAAGGGGGCAGGCAGCCTCGGGGTCTCCCCCAGAGGAGTTGGGACCCCCAAAGAGAGCTGGGACAAGCAGGGCCTGAGGCCACCATACACATCCTATCCCTTACACCCTGGCTGCTCCTCCAGGCTGGCTTCAGTTACTTTCAGGTTTCCTCTCCTCTCACAGCGTTGGGGGAGTATAGGGGGCCCAGCATAGCTCAGGGTGGGACACACAGAGCCTGGAGGGGGCCAGCGGGGTACCTGGGCAGGGGTTCTAGGCTTCCAAGCCGGGCCTGGGAGGGCAAGTGGGTGTTGGGTGCTTGGCTGTAGCAAGTCCTTCCTCTCAGGACAGACCTCTGCATCTCCCGGGGGCTCCCAGGGGCCCTACCCAGGGGGGTGTGGGACACACTGAAAGGAAGAAGGGAAGTTGCTTTTGCATCCCAGGAGACACAAGGTTGTTCGTGCTGAACCTGGCCCATACTCAGCCCTGTATCAGGTCCCAGAACTTTCTGGAGAGGCTGGAGATGTAGTACAGTGGTAGTGTGTGACCAACCTGAGTTTGATCCTGGGCATCCCATATGATTCCCAGAGCCTGGCCAGGAATGATCCCTGAGCATAGAGCCAGGAGTAAGCCCCGGACACTGCCAGGTGCGGCCAAAACCAAAAATCAGTTCTCGGAGGGATGGGACACAAAAGCCATTCACAGCCTCTACCCCACCTTTTATTAGCAACCCTGAGGAGCCGGGTGGGACGTGTATGCTGGCTTCCGGCCCTGTTTGTCCCAACTTTCTGCGGGGTCCCTGGAGGTCTGTGGTGTGTGCAGGGGTATCAAGCAGTGGGTGCTGCTCTCCATGTTTTTGCCGTGACAGCCCCGAGACCCCCTGCACTCTCAGGGACTTGCAGGCCTACGAAGATGAAACAGGAGAGGGTGGCGCACCTGGCCTCCATGGGAGATGAGGGGAGGGGGCTGGGAAAGAGACCACTGCTTTTTTTTTTTTTTTTTCATTCTGGGTCACACCCCCACCATGCACAGGGGTTACTCCTGGTTCTGCACTCAGGAATTACTCCTGGTGGTGCTGGGGGACCATATGGGATGCCGGGGATGGAATCTGGGTCTGGCGCGTGCATGGCAAATGCCCTACCCACTGTGCTATTTATCGCTCTGGCCCAAGAGGCCACTTCTCATGGCTGCCTGGTACCTGCTTGGCCTTGGCTCCTGATTGTCTCCAGGAAGTGTGGGGGGGGGGTCCTCCTGGAGGAGGCAGGCGTCACAGCTACCCATCAGAATGACTAATGACTTCCCACAATTGCCAGCCCCCCTCAGTCCAGCCTCCCCAGAGGGGCGTGCCTCTATGCACTCCAGTGTCCTGCCTGCAGAGGGCCCTGGGCTGGTGCAGGGTCAGGACCAGCCCGGGAGGAAGTGGGGAGCAGGAAGACGAAGGCAGCAGGAGCCGGGCGGGGCGGTTGTAGATAGACCAGATAAACCACTTTTCCAGTATCAAGTCTCCCGGGGTGGGGGTGGGGGGGTCATGGGGCCAGTCTCAGGCTTATTGAACTCGGGTGGGTGGTGGTGGGCACCCCTCAAATTCTCACTCTGTGCAGAGTACAAGGAGTGCTTCTCGCTGTTTGACAAGCAGCAGCGTGGCAAGATCCGCTCAAGCGACCTCCTGGTAGTGATGAGGTCCCTGGGCACCAGCCCCACGCCCAAAGAGGCACAGCGACACCTGCAGACGCATGGCATAGGTGAGGGGAGGGGCGTGGACTAGGGGCGGGGCGTGGTCGGGGCGGGGCGTGGGCATGGGCGGGGCGTAGACTAGGGGCGTGGGCGAGATGTGGGGCGCAGGTGCTGGGAGGAGCGTAGGTCAGGGAACCCTGTTGGACCTCGTGGCAGTGGTGTTTCTGGTGTGGGAGGTGGAGTGGGTGCAGCTGGGAAGTTTGTGGAGCAGGTCCCACAACTCAGGGCTGCAGTGACACCTCGTTAGGTGTCCTGTAACTCGTGGTTTTCTGCAAAACTTCTTGGCACCTGTATGGCTCCCATTTCATAAGGGACTCCGGGATCCGGCCCCTCCAGCCAGGTGACCACAGATCCACAGCCTCCCAGCAATGGGATGTTTTGCTAGAAGCTTCCCCCTGTTGAGAACTTGTGGTGCCCGTGGACTTGCAGGGCCACCAAGCCCCGGCCTCTCAGAGCCATGGGTCAACAGGCCAGGTTCTTACACCTATGGTGGAGTCACAGCCCAGCCGATACCCTGAAAATTAAGTGACAATTCCCCAGGGCTCTCTGTGGATGCTTTTCCCTTAGCGTTGTTTCCTGTATTTTTTTCTAGTTCATTTATTTATTTATTTATTTATTTTTCTAATTCAATTATTTTTAAGGTTTCAATATTTTTAAAAAATATTTTCGGGGCTGGAGCAATAGCACAGCGGGTAGGGCGTTTGCCTTGCATGCAGCCAACATGGCTGACTCAGGTTCAATTCCCAGCATCCCATATGGTCCCCCGAGCACCTCCAGGAGCAATTCCTGAGGGCATGAGCCAGGAGTAACCCCTGAGCATCGCCGGGTGTGACCCACAAAGCAAATATATATATATATATATATATTTTCATTTTGGAATTCACCCTCAGCAGTGTTCAGACAGCCATTTGGTGCCAGGGATCAAACCTGAGGTTGCAGCGAGCAAAACCAGCACTCTGGCCCTTTGAGTCTATTCCTGAGCCCCAGTTAATGTTTTTTTTGGGAGGCACACACTACTCTGCTTGGGGGCTACTCCGAGATCAGTACCCGGAGGACCACAAGGTGCCAGGGTTCAATCCTAGGGTCTCACACATGGAAGTCAAGTGCTATCATTAAAGCCACATCCCCACCCAGTTAATTATTTTATGATGAGTCTGATCACCAGCATCACAGTCTCCTATATTTTATCTGTTTGTTATCTGTTTGTTTACTTATGTTTGGTCAGGGGACACCACACCCATTGTTGCTCAGGGCGACTCCTGGCTTTGCGCTCAGGGGCAGCCCAGGGGACCATATGTGGTGTCAGGCATCAAACCCAGGTGGGGTTTGCAAGCAAGGGCTCTGTCTGCTATACAATCTCCTGCCCTTGCTCTATTTATTTATTTGCTTTTTGTGTCACATCCGGCGATGCTCAGGGGTTACTCCTGGCTCTGCACTCAGGAATTAGTCCTGGCAGTGCACGGGGGACCATATGGGATGCTGGGAATTGAACCTGGGTCAGCCGTGTGCAAGGCAAATGCCTTACCCACTGTGCTATCGCTCCAGCCCCGCTTGCTCTATTTTTGACATTGGCAACACAGAGCACTTTGTTTTGGGGCCACACCTGGTGGTGCTCAGGACTTACTCCTGGCTCTGTGCTTGGGGATGTTTAGGGGACACTCCAGGTGGTGTTTAGGGGACCCTGTGGATGCTGAGGATAGAACCTGGGTTAGCTGCATGCAAGGCAGGTACCCTACCTGCTGTTAGGCCCCACAAACATTTTCCTTTTTTTTTTTTTTTTAAGGAAAGTGTGTGTGTGTGTGTGTGTGTGTGTGTGTGTGTGTGTGTGTGTTCAGACTGGCAGAGTATCAGTCACGCTGGGCAAAGATGCCCACAAAGGAAGAGACCCCAGAGGCGGGGGTGAGCCTGGTGACTTCCCTGTCTCCATCAGTCTCCTAGGCTCTGCAATGGGCCCTGTGGCTGTTCGGGTGGCCTGAAGGCCTGCAGTAGTGCTGGGAGCTGGACTCAGGGCCTGGAGCCCAGTGATGGCCTTTAGTGATGGTTACGACATTCTCACCTCCTTTGTTTTCTGTCAGGAAGCTGATTTCTGCAGCTGTATGCCAGCAGCGGCCAGGGAAAAGTTGGGGTCCCTCCATCCTGGGTGGGTGTGGGAGACCAGCGGGATGGGGGGTGTGGGCCCACAGCCTGGGTCAGGGCAGGAGGGAAACTCCTATAAGAGACTGAGGAGGCCCGGCCCACCCCAGTTCTGCCACTGTTTTGCAGGGGACAGTGCAAACCTGGGGTCTGAATCCTTTGGAGGCAGAATGGGCAGATGCTGAACTGTTACTGAGGGCCATGGGGAGGGCCAGGGAGGCGGTCTATGGGGACACAGTGCAGTGGGCTGAGCACCCCCCTCTGCCCATTACTGGGGGTTCCTGCACTCAAGGCTCCCGAGCTGGCCGTGGAGGTGGGCCTGGAGCTGTCTCGAACCCAGGCCGCTTACACCCTGCTGTTGGGGGGCCCCAGACAGGCAGGGGGAGCTGGATTTCTCCACATTCCTGGCCATCATGCACGGACAGATGAAACAGGAGGACCCCAAGAAGGAGATTCTTCTGGCCCTGCTCATGGCTGACAAGGAGAAGAAGGGATACATCATGGCATCCGAGCTACGGGCCAAGCTCACGACACTGGGGGAGAAGCTCACCCACAGAGAAGGTAACTGATAGGAGCGGGGTGAGCACGCCCCTCAAGGCCGAGAGAGAGGTGAAGCTGGGGGTGCTCTGGATTGGAGTGCAGGGCACAGTGGAATGTGGGGGTCTGGGGAGCCTGTGCTCTCTGGGTACTGCCAATACCCCTGGCCACACTCGGCCCCCTTTTCCACCTGCAAGATGCAGGTTTTGAGTGTCTGAGCCAGGAGGTGAATGTGGGTCTCCCAGACCCCCCGTGTCCCCTCACACCACCCTCTTCTCAGTGGTTGCCACAGATTCCTCAGCTCTTGCCTATAGTCATCCTGTTCAGAGTCTTCCAGAAGGGGAATCTGTGGTGGTCTCTGGGGCCCCTGCTCACCCCTCCCTGCAGCCGAGACATAGGCTTGGAGGCTTCTGAAAAAGCCGGTTGAATACAAGCAGGGACGTTAGCCACCCTCTCCCAGCCTGGATCTGTCCCTGCTGAGGCCATATGGCTCTCGTGGTGGCAGGCTGACCTGTGGCAGTGCCCGGAGCACTGGGTGGAGAAAAAAGGGCCTGGACAGGATGCATGTCATTCCCCGAGTGCTGCCCCGGAAGGGATTGCTTGTTCTTTGTGGGAACTCTGCCTCCTCATTCCCGCAAGGTTTCTAATTTGTTTGTTCTCGGCCACACTTGACAGTGCTCAGTGCCTACTCCTGTCATTGCTTAGAGGACCAGGTGCAGCTGGGGTGCAGAGCCAGGCCTCAGCTCCATGAGCTATATTCTCTAGTGCCAGACAATCTTTCTTGTTTGGAGTTGGAGGCTCCCAAGGCGTCCCAGCAGTTCCTAGCCAGTCACATGATGGTTCCGTGGTGTGAGGGTCCACAGTTATGGTACTTCTCAGGCTCTGTAGAACTAGGGTCCCAGGGCCACTCTGGTGGTGGGGGGATGGGGGCGGGCAGTTCTGGGGTTCATCCAGTGCTGCTTGGGAGACTATATATGCTGGGGATCACATGCAAGGCAAGAGCCTTTCCCCTGTTCTATCTTCTGGCACCCCAGACAAGTAACTTCTCATGCCCTTGCTTGTTTTGTTAGAAAACAGACTTTACAGCGGGGGAGGGTGCTTGCCTTGCACACAGCTGACCTGGGTTCCATCCCGGATCGGTCCCTGAGGCATGCGAGGAATGATCCCTGAGTACAGAGCCAGGAGTAACCACCACTGGGTGTGGCCCCAAAACAAGAAGAAAAGAGGCCATCCTTCAGGCCCCAAGATCCAGGCTGCTGTGATGAGCCCCATTGTCAAAGACTCTGGGCCAAGTCTTTACAAATAGTACAACAGTAGGCAGAGGCTGTGTCCCGGCTTCCTGGGTTGGCAGCAAGCACCACCTCAGGTTCCATGGTGGCACCTGGATGTCCTTACCCCATCATGGCCGTGAGAACACAGCACAGCCTCTGGTGTTGGGGTGTGGACTGCTGGTAGAGGGCGGCTCCATTGAACACCATCCACTGCCCACCTGCCTCTCCCCCTCGTGTAGCCTTGCACTCTGAAGCGTGGCAGACGGACAATGGCTTTTGCAGGAGATGGCCTGCATTTGATCCCCAGCCTCACAGGGTGTGGTCCAAGAAACAAACCAAATAGCGCATGGGGAGATTGGTTTCCTCATCCTAAACAGGAGATAGGAAAGATGCTTCTGGACGGAGGACTTCTGGGCCAGGAGATGGAAAAGAAATCTGCCATTGGCCTGGGAGCAGCTAGGGATGGTGAGAGACCATGTGAGGTTGACGCCTGTCCCCTGGGAACCTCCAGGTCATGGCTCTGTTCCCAAGGCTGCATGGCTGCAGCCCCGGTCTGGACAATTCCTGGTTCCCATCAGGCTGTGATAGGGTAGCGCCGAGCTGGGCATGTTCCGTCTCCCCACACGGTTCCCCCAAGCTGCCCATGACTTGAAGCTTCTCAAAATAAGATCAATTAGTCTCCTCAAAATTCTAAAAATACAGCCTTTATCAGCTCAAGTGCAGAGCACAGTAATTACATTTCAGTGGATGATGGTTAAGCAGAGAATCTCAGGCTCTTTTCTGACTTCCTGGAATTATATGTCTGGAAGCCCGGGACACAGGGCAGCAAGACAGTGTTTGTGGGAGGTCAAGAGGCCACTGGGCAGGGGAGCTGAAATGGAGCTTCCTGCCTGCACTCGGGACAAGCTCGGATTTTGTCCCTTTCGAAGTCCAGGAGAAGCTGGTCAGTGAAGTGAGTTTTTTTCAGAGCTGCGTTAGAGAACAAAGCCCGTTTGTGTACTTCAGACACAGTAAAATTAATTTTCTCTCGTACCTCCAGTAGCTATTTGTTCTAAATAGGGGTGCTGCTGACTGACCCCACTGGAGCAAAGTAGTAGGCAGATGCCAGTTTGGTGGAGAAGGGAGACAGGTGAAGGGTGGGTTGGAGGGTGGATGGAGGATGTCCGATCTGCTGAGGTGCTGAGTGGGGTGGGGGTCAGGGGGCTGGACAAGGTAGAACCACTGGGAAAGGTTTTTTGAGGTACAGCACAGGGTCACCTTATCTCCATAGGGCTGGAGAGATAGTACAGTGGGTAGTGAACTTGCCTTGCACGTGGCCAACTGGGTTCAATCGCTGGCACCCTAGAGGCTTCCCTGAGCACCAGCAGGTGTGGCCCCTCATCAGAAACAGAGAACTGGGCTGGAGCGATAGCACAGCGGGTAGGGCATTCACCTTGCACGCGGCCGACCCAGGTTAGATTCCCAGCATCCCATATGGTCCCCCGAGCACCGCCAGGAGTAACCCCTGAGCATCGCTGGGTGTGACCCAAAAAGCAAAAAAAAAACCCCCAAAAAACAAAAAAAAAACCCAAAAAAACCCAGAGAACTTCAGCTGACTTCAGAGATGGGGAGCCTGGCTCCCTGGAGCAGGGTCGAGGGCCTGCCCTGTCTGCAGTGCCCTTGTCTATGGGAACAGCTAATTGGACACTTAGGGGAGATCTCTGGGGAGCCCAGGCCCCAAGCACACCGTGTCTGGTAATGGAACACTGAAGCCAAAGTGAAAAATTAATGTGATTTCTTGCAGTGGATGATCTTTTCCAGGAAACAGATATCGAACCAAACGGCCGAGTGAACTATGATGACTTTATTCACAAGATCACCATCCCCGTGCGGGACTACTGAGTCGCAGCCTGGCTGCCCCTGGGCAGGAATGCATCTGAAAAGAGGCAGGCTGGGGTGGGGGCTGGCTTGAAGGGGTGGGAGGGAAACTGGGGACATTGGTGCTGGGAAATTACACTGGTGGAGGGATGGGTGTTGGAACATTGTATGACTGAAATACAATCGTGAACAATTTGGTAATGCTGTATCTCATGGTGATTCAATAAATTAAAAAAAAAAACCAAAAATAACTGTCCTGGTGTGGGGGAGGCAGCAGGTCCGCAGCCAGCTGACATTCCTGACTGGAGCAGGGATGTCCGGTCAATGAAAATAAGGATTCCAGCCCTTTGGTTAGGCCTCTGATAATAGGTTTCTTTTTCTTTTTCTTTTTTTTGTGGATTTTGTAAGCCCTAGGTGGGGTCCTGGCCTTTGCCGTGGGGTATGAGCCAGTGGATTGGAGTTGGACCTGTATTTCTGCTTTGCAGTCTGGTCATTCAGGACAAATCATTTATTTGGTGAAGAAAAACTATGCCAGATTGATCCCTGGAAACCTCAAGACCCCCAAGCTGGATTCCATTCCCACTTCTTACCTCTTGGAGCCGGTGGAGATTGGTCTCAGATAAGCTGAAAATACCTTTGCGGGCCAAAGCAATAGTACAGCTGGGAGGGCGCTTGCCTTGCACTCAGCCAACTTGATGTCTGGCATCCTTAAGGTCCCCCGAGCCCTACTAGGAGTGATTCCTGAGTGCAGAGCCAGGGGTAATCCCTGAGCATCGCTTGGTGTGACCTCCCTTGTCCACCACCCCCCTCCCCACCCAGAAAAAAAAATGCCTTTGCAACCCCCAGAGCACAGTAGTCCTCAGTGCTCTGGCAGAGCCTTGTGAACAGGGTCACATTTCCAGTAACTGCTTCTTCCACAGTGCTGACACCAGGTCCCTGTTAGCAACAAACAGGTGCTTGGACTAAAAACAATACGACCCAACTGTGGTAACTGTTTCTCGCTGCTTAAAAGTCTCTCTCCCATCCCTGCCAAGGACCCCAGCTCAGGAGGTTTATTCATACGTTAGAATGGGCAAGTGCCAGCTAACAGTGGGAGAGTGATTTGACTCCACAGCCCAGAGCGAAGACCAGCTAGTGGCCGAGCTCCTCAGGCGGAGGCTGCCCTGTCTCGGACCCTGTCAGATCTTGCGCTTCCCTCCTGGCCTGTCGTCAAAGGTTCACAGTGAGGATGATCTGCTCAACGGAGCCAACTGAGTCAGTCTCAGGCTGTTTTCTCCAGAAATGGGTCATGACAGGCGAAGGCCATGGTGTGTGCAGGGACACTGTACCTGGGCATTATTCTAGCACAAGTAGTTTTTTTTTTTGTGTGTGGTTTTTGGGCCACACCTGGTGGTACTCACAGCTGACTCCTAGCGATGTTCCGGGAACCTTATGGGTGCTAGAGATTGAATCCAGGTTATGTGCATGCAAGGCAAGTGCCTCCCCACTGCACTTCAGCTCTGGCCCCTCAAGTTTTTTAAAATTGCGTAACAGGGGTTGCCAAGCTGGTTCAAAGTTGCAGGTTGTGGGGCTGGAGCTATAGCACAGTGGGTAGGGCATTTGCCTTGCACATGGCTGATCCAGGTTCGATTCCCAGCATCCCATATAGTCCCCTGAGCACTGCCAGGCGTAATTCCTGGGTGCAGAGCCAGGAGTAACCCCTGTGCATCGCTGGGTGTGACCCAAAAACCAAAAAAAAAAAAAAACCCCACCACAAAACAAAACAAAACAAAAAACAAAGTTGCAGTTGTGCACTCAGCAACTCTGTGGATCTCTAGGTAGTGTCAATCTTGTGGGATCTGGGGTTGGGGTGGCACAGCAAGGCCCTGGGGTTGGATCCTCTCTTCTGCAGCAGCCTCTAATTAAAAAGGTGTGTGTGGGGGGGGGGCGGGGGGGGGGCTAGAGATTTCCATCCCTGGATCACCGGCTCTTCTGGGTTGTGGCTTTGTCTAAGTGCCAGGGGGTGCCGTTTCTGCAGCCAAAAAAAGAGGGCAGGGTTTCTTCCAAGAGTGAGGCCACAGGGCTCACAGGGCCAGTACTAGGCGATGCAAGGGACAGTCTTGGTGTAACCACCGCACCACATGTGGCAACCAACCTGAGGTTCTGAGAAGGGCAAGGTCTTTCACTCTCCAAGTGGAACTCCAGCAGGCATCCTAGGCGCTGTAGCTGGTGGGTAAGACCCAGTGGGAAAAGGCTCTGTGGAACTGTCTGGCTGAGGAGCTGAGTTCTGGAAGATGCAGGGAGCAGACCCAGGGCTCCTGGTAGCTGAAACTTTTTGCAATCTGGTTCAGAGAGCTGGGGTGAACGCTTTGCAGGCCAGATGATCCCCAGCACTGTGAGATGCCTCCTCCCCTCCCTGTACCTGAGTACTGAGCCAGGAGTAGCACCCTTAAAATCCCAAAGTAGGAATAAAGAATTACTGAGCCCGATGAGGTCACAGCAAGTGAGGGCCTTGGTGCTTCTGTTCCATTATCTTCACAGTGAAGTGACCATCACCCCTATCCCACCCCCCTTCAGGGCAGTTAGACTTGGGTGTCCTGAAGAAAATGGCTTTTTCTTCCTTCCACGTCCATGCTCAATGGCTCTGTGGGTGTAAGGGGCAGACCCTGCCCAGAGGACTCGATAGGAGACACAGATGAACAGAGTTCTGGGCTGTCAAAGAGCGAACTTCCCCTCAAAGCTCTGTCACAGAATGGCCCCAGTCTGGTTTGAACACAAGTTTATTAATCTCACTTGCCTGGAAAATATACAACTGGTACAGAGTAGTGGCAAGACCTGAGTCCATTTCCTCTTCCTTGGAGGCCCCGATTAAGGGACCTGCTAACGAGAGGCTAAGACCCCAGATGGAAGATGTAAGACTCCAGACGAGGAGACAGTGTCCCAGATGGAGGTACTAAGGTTCCAGACGAAGGAGCTAAGGTCCCAGAGGAGGATATGAGCTCCCAGGGGAGGAGCTAAGGTCACTGATGGAAGGGGTGAGATCCAAGGCTGAGAGCTGAGAACTGAGCCAAGGAGCTGAATGGCAGGTTGCATTCAGGTGGGATGCCAGTTTCACACTCACTAAAATCCAGTGGGTTGACACAGGATTGTTTGCAGAGGCAACACTACTCTTAGAACTCAAAGTACATGTCATGAGAGAGATTCAAAATGAACCAGTCGCTCCGGTTCGTTTCTAAGCTAGCGGTATTTCAGGAAGAATGAAGACTTTGCACCCATCACTTACCTTGAAGCATGTAGCAGGAGAAAGAGTCACCTGTCATGCTTTGAATGCTTGGCACGAAGGCGCTTTGGAAGTATAAAGCATTAGCGTTTTCTCATCAGCACTGTGTCCCTTCGGGGCCCAGCAGTGTATTTTACAGAAGACAAATTAACTGAAGGCTTTTCTTTTATTACATCTAAAGAGCTCTACATAAACAGGTAACATTCAATAAGTAAACAATTTTTTTTCCAATGCATGTAATAAATATTTTCACTTGGTACTTTTATACAAACTGACATTGGTCTACTATACATTTTTAAAAGCCATTTACTGGTTTGGCATGCGGTATGGAAATCCTAAGAGAAAGTTTTAAGGCAATGAATCACAGATTTAAGTTCATGGAATTTATGGTAAATCTTATCTGTTTATATACATTTCCCCCGCTGTTAATGAAACAGTTATCAGCAGCACACTCTGGGGCCACCAGCTATCCTCCTGCTCTCTCTCAAATCTAAGCTGTGTGTGTGTTTTAATTAAAGAAAAAGAACAACTACAGAATTCAACATGTATGGATAAAATAAAATTCTTACTAAAATAATTCCAAATGTGCTTTAACGTCCTGAAGCTCTTGAAGTACTTTTGTGCATTTAAATTGGAAATTTTTTTTTTAAAAAAAGGCTTTTTTCACAATTATTATTTTAAAATTGGGTATCTTCATTCATTTTCTGACATCTGACTCCAAAGAAACTGCCAAGAAACCACATTTCAGAAGCTTAAGTGAACCTTTCCTAAGTCAGTACTAATATTGAACTGTGAGAGAGTCTGTAAGAACGGAAGTAAAAAAAAAAAAAAGCTGAATGTGCAATGCACGTGAGCCAACTCAGAGTGACTCGGGAAAGGTTCATATTATTTTAAAATAGATGTGTGGAATACTGCCCACTGACGGAAAGAAACTCCAACCCCGTTAGTCAAAGCTATGCTACCGACACTGTGTGCATATTGACACACATCCATGCACACATGACACATACATGCACACACGCCTGTACAGAAACACAAACATCTGCCACGTCTATTATGAAAGACCACAGCCAGGGGCTGGCAGTTCTGAGAACGACTGTTTTTTGTTAGTCAGTCTCTCAAGCATTGGCAGGGGTAGGGGAGTGAGGGTGGGATACGGACGGGACCAGGCAAATGACCGGTGTACCTTCACTGGGAAGAGAAAGATGTGCTGTGCGACTCTACTGACAATTCTGAGACCATGCAAGTATGCTATGACGAAGCATTTGGGAGAGCCAACGAAGGGAACTCACACCTCAAGAAGAGAAGGGATGGAACCAGAACGACAACTGACCGGTCAGTTTCTCCTGTGGGGACAGCCGCCAGGCAGACATCTGCCTTCATGTTCTTCCCTTAGACTGCAGGGCACTCTGGGAAAGAAATCCTTCCCAACACTGGGTGCTCATGGAAGTAGAGGGATGGGTTTCCCACTGGGTCACTCAAAGAGTTGGTAATTCAGCATCATAATCAGACAGAGTTATTGATCAGAATTGAGACCAGTAACAACAATGATCGAAAAAGAGAAATAAAAAAGAGAAAAGAAAAACCACTTCTTTTTATCTTTAACTGGAAATGTTTTCTCTTACACTGTAAAATAAGCAACTCCCCACGATTTAGGTAATTTCTATCTCAATCTGAATTTAGACACAAATTTAGATACTTCTTAGATATTAGCTTAGGTTAATATGGCATTGAGAGTGTTCAGTTGTTTACTCACTATAACACAGATTCATTAAAAAAACTGAACTATTTTTTGTTTTAACCGACAATGAAACCTTTTTTATTGCAAATTAGTGACT